ACAAAAAAAAACCGTTTTTACAACAAGTACATAATTTGTCTAATACTATAAGATAATGTAAACAATTTAAAATTACATTCCTTAATATCCCCTTATATGTTTATAGGAACGATCCATTGTATATAACTATATATCAATTTTTCTTACGAATACTAGTTGTGGTCCAAAAAAAAATTAAAATGCATTTCTTACATCTATACGTGCGTATATACATCATGCATATCCGTAAAATACTAAATACGTGTGTAATTACATCATGCATATATGTGTACATCCAATATATATTTTAAACAACGAAATATATTCCGTTGATGAACTTGGAGTTTTTTAAAACATATAATTTCATAAAGCATATGTATGAACTTGGAGTGTTTTTAATGTACATCATATAATTTAGTATCTTTCCAAATACGTCCTTATAAATTTCAGGAATGATAGTAACGTTAGCATCTATTCATAAAAATATTTAACACTACATGGCTAGTTTTAAAAAGAATATCGGTAATGCCTAAAAAATTCAAAAAAACTAAAAGAAATTGGGATATGGAAGAGGAAAGAGATAAAAGAAAGATTTGGATGTGATGTAGAGAATCCAAGAACTGAGAGCAACTTGACATTGTGACAAATTAGATGTCGAAATCTTCGTTTTGCAGTATTCCAGTGCTAAAAAAAGTTTTTGAATAAATTATAAATAAATGAAAAGTACGAAGGAAATGTCACTTTCTTTACAGAAGTGACAGCCATAATTATAATACCTACCATTCCACAGCCCCAAATATTCTGCAGTTATTGGTCGTTTTCGTTACAATTCATTTTGTACTTTACATTTTTTTTTCAAAATGCTACACAAATTCTACACATTTTACATTCAAGAGTTTTGATAATTACTTTTTTTTTGTTGGTCAAACTTGATAATTACTTATACATGTTTATTAGTAAACCACCAGCTTTCATTTTGAATTATTTTTCAAACAACAAAACACATGTGTATTATAAAGATAAATCAAGATTTTATAACACGGAGCAATGTAAGGCGATCAAATTTAAATTTGTAGGACCATTTACTTGATTAGTTTGTAATAACTCGTGGTTAATACTTAATTCATCAAGAACGTCAAGAAACATAAGATACGTTTTTGCCATAACACTTTTGTCAGAAATTATAAAATAGTCAAAGATTTTGTAATCTCAAAGGTGAAAATTGCTTTTCCTGATTCACAAGCAATCTTTCTTTTTCTCATCTTTCTATATATTTCTCGAATTTCTAAACCTTACACATTATGGTCAAATGAGTCGGTCCTCCCTAGCATATGTAACAATAACATGTCTCTTACACATCAAGAAAAAGTTCAAAAACTTAG